CTGATTAAGTAGCTCAGGAAATGGCATTGTTCTGTATAACAAGTCCTGGAAATAGTCCTATTTTAGAATCCTAACACTGAAACAAACTTTTAAGCTATATCCCAGTAAACCCTTGGGTAAATATAGAAAAGCAACTTCCTATATGGGCCATATGTGACGTGTTATCTATTTCTTAAATATGTTTTCATTTACCCTGTGCTTCTTCACTAATTCTTCTGGTTATTTGGGGGAAGTAGCCGGTTAGTCTACTCTTCCACTGAAATACAATAACAGGGACTATATCCAATTTGAGGGCACCCTGCTCATATAGAGTTATTTTCTTTCTCCTACAGCCTTCCATCTGCCTTGACTCTGCTCCAAGAGATGCCTCTTATTCCTCTACAACACATGTGTGGCACCTATGGATTTGCAATGGGAATATTTTTTCTACTTTAGTCTATAATTTACATGTATTTTATTTATCAAATTTATATGGCTACCCATCTCAGAATGGCGTACAGCAAAAAAAAAAAAAAAAAAAAAGTAGCACATATCCTGAAACCATTATAAATCATAAATACATTCTATCCAACAATGTAAGAACTGTAACCTCAGAGAAAGGACTAGTTTCCCACTCAAAAACAAAACAAAAAAAAAAAAAAACCAGCACATCAAATGTGCAAAAGCTTAAGGAAAATTTTAGGGTGCTTTGGGTAACTGCAAATATTTAAATCTTTTAAAACACATAAAAAATTGGTGTTGAAACATTAGTATCTGAATAGTACAAGTGTTAAGCTGTTCCTTAAAGTAGCTGTGAAATTTCATAGCTGAGAATTACTTTCCCTGCTGGATGTCACTTGTCACCAAATGTTAACGCAGGTGGCCAACTCACCCAAACACAAATGTTTCTCATTGGAAAATTGTTATAGTTGATAAGTTCTTCAACTGTGGTGCACATTAGAATTTTGTGATGAAAATGTTTTCTACTTGATCAATTTTGTCATCAGGCTCCAGGATTCACTTATCTGGATATTCCTTCAGAAAACAATTAGGATGCCTGCTCTAATATCGGCCTTCTAAAGTTTGGAGCCTGTCTTACATCACAGGGACAGTTCTGCATTTAAAAGTAAATTGCAACATGAGTGGGTTTACTTTTACAATCTTCTTGGCAACGTTCTTTGCTATCCCTGTCTTATGGATCAAGGCTAAGGAATCAATGAAGCGGGTTGAGTTGAAAAGTCAGATCCAGCTTCCTGCTGCCTGAGCAGGATGGACAATGTCAAGAATCCAGCTTAGGTTGGGAACTCCTATTAGTTGCAATCATTCACTTTATAATTGCACAAAAAGATAGGAGACATTCTTCTGATTTTTCGTGCAAGGAAAATTCTTTAAAATAAAGCGAGAGTGCAAGAAGTACTATATCCCCCATTTTCTTTCCAAAGTAGAGAAGAATATTAGAGGCTGGACTGTACACAGGACTTCTAAGAGCTGCTCTACAAAGTGCATTAATGCAAACCAAGTACAGGTAATGCATAACTTACAACCATTCACTCAGGGACAATTTGAAGTTACAATGACATTGTAAAAAGTGACTTACGACCATTTTTCTCACAACTGTTGTGAGAAGACATGTTGTGCAGCATCTTGATGGTCACAGGATCAAAATTTGGACACTTAGCAACTGACATGTGTTTATGAAGGTTGTGGTATCCAGGGGTCATGGGATTTCCTTTTGCAACTTCCCGACAAGCAAAGTCAGTGAGGAAACCAGATTCACTTAACAAGCAGTGATTCACTTAACAACTGTGGCAAGAAAGGCAGTAAAATGGGGCAAAACTCACTTAACAATTGTCTTGTTTACCAACAGAAATATTGGGCTCATTTTTGGTTGTAAGTCGAGGATTACTTGTACTTCTTTTCAAACCATTAAAGCAGACTTTTCTTCTGCAAGATTCAGGTGGATCTTTTGAACATTGTCCACAATTATCTGCATATGCATACACAAACAATATTTCATCAGAGCTGGAACTGCCAATGAAACAAAGCCGCTGTGCTTTTACATTCTTCAGAAGGGTGTAAGGATAGGCTTCAATGTAACAGTATAATCCCAAGAAATTTAAACAGAGGTCACACAATAATGCCCTTGGGGAAATTTTTCCTTCAGAAACATATTTCTGAAATTTCTGCTCTAATACAGCTAAGAACCCTTGACTGGTCACGTCAAACATTACCTGAACAGGGAATATCAAACATCTGTTCCTCCTAAAAAATGTGGGAGTTCAAATTTTAGCTTATTTCTTTTTTTCACCCACTTCTTAAAAACTATTGGAGTACCTATTGCAAATAAATTAAGCAAGTAAAAATAAAAGCACAAGGTAAAGAGAACATTTTATTTAATCAAAAGTAATCGTGCCAAAGAAAAAGCACTGTGAAAGTTCACTGCTGTCACTCTGCTTAAGACAAAATGACTAGTGCTGGATATTCTGAAGTTTACCTATTATTTTGCACTTCATTCTGCAATCAAATAGCTCAAGGCAAACTGAGGCAACTGCAAATAAAACTCTGCTACTTCTCTTGAGCAGCTCTTTTCAGGGCACGCTGCCAATTAAGATTGAAAAACTTATTTTTTTTTTCACACAATAAAATATCTGATGTTTCTTGGCATACTCTTTATTTATATGGATCACCTGGCAATTATTTCTTATACCTGCATTTAGAAACCTAAAAAACTCCAAAGGGTTGCTTATCTGGCATCTTAACAGACATGTTCCAGGTGCAGTACTAATCATGCACAATGGCTTAGATAACTTCATAAGAGAATTCATAAGATGAGATACAGCAGTTCTGCACATCCCTGGGGCTTCATCTTTTGCCTCTGGACTTAGAGAAATGAGGCACAAAGGACAACTTCTGTAATGGTGCACATCCTAAATACGGGTTATGTAACATCTTGATCATTTATCTTCTAAATTTAGTGAAATTTCAACTCTTCAACTCCCAAATTCTAAAGTTTATTTATTTTCTCTTTGTTTTGAAAAAGAACAGGTACCATTTTAATAAATAGTGACCAAAACCTTTCCCCTATGTATTTGAGTATGCAAATTAACCGAAACAATAAACATTTGGGTGGCATTTATATTTAAGAAATGAAATTATCTAATGGCAATAACAATTTCATTTCAGGATGCAAATTTTTATTCTTTTAGGTATAGTCTTCAAACAAAAAAATAATAAATGCAGATTACCACATTTGCTCAATTAAACCAACCAATGAATGATAGGATTAAGCCTGCATTGTGAATATGACAATGCAGGCTTCCTGCATTGTCATCTAAGTGACCTTCTAGAGTCACTTAGGTGGAATAGGCAGTATAGAAATTTAATAAATAAAAATTTATTTATTTATATTATTTATTATCGGACTTATATGCCGCCCTTTCTCCACAAGGACTCAGGGCGGCTCACAGCAATAAACAACAACAAGTCCAATTAAAATTCAACAATAAAAACTAAAATTCCCATTAAAACCCCATTCAGTCCAGGCCAGCTTGGCGAAACAGCCATGTTTTAAGGTCACGGCGGAAGGAGCGAAGGTTGGGGGCTACCCGGAGCTCCAAGGGGAGCTGATTCCAGAGGGTAGGTGTGCCCATAGAGAAGGCTTGCTCCCTAGGGCCGTCAGCTGACATTATGTGGCCAATGGGACCCCAAGCAGGTCCTCTCTATGTGAGCGCATGGGGCGATGGGGAGCTGTTGTTGGCCGCAGGTGATCTGCCAAATACCCCGGGCCTAAGCCATGTAGGGCTTTATAGGTAATCACCAGCACCTTGAACCTCACCTGGTGGGCAACAGGTAACCAATGCAGGTCACGCAGGAGGGGTGTGACATGGGAACATCGGGACACTGCCATCACTACCCGCGCAGCCACATTCTGCACCAGCTGAAGCCTCCGAGTGGTTTTCAAGGGCAGCCCCATGTAGAGAGCGTTGCAATAGTCAATCCAACAACAATATCCAACAACAATTCCCACCCTCTAATATTAGCGAGTACTGTAGCTTGGCCTGTCAGTGCTAGAGAGGCCTATAGTTGTAGGCCTCAGATTGAAGCTATCTGGGCTCAAGGCATTAGTTTGATTAATGCTGTGTGAGGGAATTTGGCTGGCCATTCGGTTTTCCAAATCTCCTCTACTTGAAGCTTTTCATTTAGTCCCCCTGAGTTTCAAGTTCCTCCTTAGAAATTCTACCACAGCTTCTCTTAACCTCAAGAAGGCTTATGCTGCAAGCAATCCACACAGGAGTAACGATTTAATTCCCCCTCAACCCATACTCTGTAGTAATATTCAGCTGAACCCATGAATCCCATTCTAGAGTTGAATGTATAGCTATTGCAGACAGAAGTATCAGACATTGTTGCCACAATGTTAACAAGGCAAGAAAACCTGGATCAACTTTTGAATCATTGCTTAGAAGCTCACCAAAATAGCAAAGGTTAAATTCAGAAAGCCTGAATAAAAGTACATCAGTAGTTTCCAGCAAACCTTGGCAGATATAAGAATTGGAAAGAATAGTTCCATTGTAAATGATGCATTGTATATGCACACCAGTTTTTGGTTTTAAAATTCAGTGGACTCTTAGATATCAATGACCACATCAGTTACCAATCTTTGGACTATTAGTAGATAAAATTCTTCAAGCAACAGAATGTCAGGATTTACGGTATATATTCACCTGTTAGTCAATATGTCATAAAGAATAAAGTGGAACTATCCAAGGTTCAAGATCTGCAATCCAAATTGTTAACTTAGAAAGAAATCCTACTCCCAAGGATATGTTCAAAGGATTGAACTTTTATATTCTTATGGCCATATTGGCTTTTGTCATACAAGAGGTTTCAAAGCCAATGCCAATAACTTCCATTTAGCTTCCATTTGCCATGGACCAACCCATAATGGTAACATCAACCTGCCAATCAAATACAATCCCAGTTAGATGATGCCCCGCCCAGTTTATTACCCAGAGGCCTACCTGCAGCTCCTTCTCTGAATACTTCTGAGGATTTTTGCTTCCTTGGCTCTTCTTCCGAAGCTTCTTTAATTCACCCTGGCATTTCTCTACTCCGTCCCCTTTATTCCTTTGCTCGGTCTGGTACTTCTTTAGTGCAGCCTGAAACATGGAAGATGTGTGGGAGTGCTGAATAGCTGAAATAATAATACGCTGAAGACATGGGCAGAGATTTCCCCTGTGGGTAATGAGCATAGTTTATATGCTTCCTGCAGGCAGAAAGGTCTCAACCTCACACCTGCTGTAGAGGACATGTTTTGAATGAGGGTGCATTGATTAGAAACAAAAGCTGTCTTCCTTTGGGACATGCCAAGAAAGCATTTCCCATGAGTCCCGGGACTCTAATTCCAATACACAATTCAGTACACAGTGCAACCCTTTCCCCCCCAAGACTATGTAAATCTCCTTTTTTAAAAAAATAAATAAATGAGAATCCTGATGGATTTAATTTAAATCACAAGCATCCTTACAAATAAGCAATGATTAAAGCATAATTTGTCTGAATAAAATTATCTTGAATAAATGTTTTTTTCTTACAGTACTTATTCCAATGCTTATTCAAATGAACTTGAATAAACACTCCTCTTAATCTGCACCTTGCAAAAACAGATTAAGGCACCTGCCAGTTCTTGCAAACTCATACCTACTATAAGCGAAGTTTATAGTTTTGCTCACTGTCAAGTAGCTGAACTTTGGTAGCTTCATAGTGCCATGTTAATAACCAGAGGTGGGCTTCACTTAATTTAACAACCGGTTCGCCCCAGCACCAAAAATGTGAGCATGCATGTGCTTTGCTTGCGCGCGTGCTTGCACACATGCACACAGCTTAAAAAACGCAGCTAAATAGGACAGCATAGCACCAGGGTGGGTGCCCGCAGGTCACAACTACATGTTCCCCCGAATCGGAGCGAACTGGCTGAATCCCACCCCTGTTAATAACTACATAGCTAGTAATCCAATTTACATTCAATAAAAGTTGCTTGATACTTACACTTAGATACCGTGAATCTAGCTCTACTTTCTGCTCAAGTTGTGTTAGTAGTTCATTGTGGAAGGACTTCAGCTGAGAAGTGAATCGAACAAGCATAAATATTAATCATTGGAGGAAAACTATAAATAAAAACAGATAATCTACATTAAGATACCAAACTAATCATTACAAGTGGATGATAACAGAAAACAGAATGGCAGATAAATATAGTAAAATGAAATGAAATAAAGTAATAAAGCAATAATGGATAATTGGCATAACAAACAAACAGTTGTAAATAACATGGCTGAATTCTTCTTTAGAGGACAATTTTTGAAGATATTCTCTAACTGGAGACTACTTGATTCAATTCTGCCTTGAAAATAAAGAAGGATAAGACATAAAAATAAGAATTTCTCATTTCTAGTTAGTAGCTGGAGAGAAAACAGAGAAGGCATGTTGGTCATCTGTTAACCAACTTCCCACTAGGCTGGGATTCAACATATATTTCTATGTAAAATAATCTCTATTTCTTATTCTTTTGAGTAAAGCCTAATTGGCCACTCTACTTATAGGTCAAGACATAATTAAGGACATACCTCTCCTAATTCATCAAGAAGCTACTTGAAACCAGTCAGATTTCTTGGACATTTCAAAAGCCAGCACATGACTTGCAATTTTGTTTGGCCCACAATTTATTCAATTGAGGTCCCTATTCTTACTTAAAGGACTTGGCAGCTATTCTACAGCAGATGTGTTTCAATTTTAAATCCACGTGTATCAAAGGCTCTGCAGGCTGTCCCTTGGCCAGGCTCTGCAAAAAAGACAAGTTAATAAGAACACAAGTGCTTACCATCTCTTCTAACTGATTTTGAATCTGTCTATGGACTTCAGCCATCTGGAACAGAACATCCCCTGGAAAAAGTAAGACAAAAGAAGAGAGACTAAATTAAAAAAAAAATCTAAGAGACTGTTCTGTATCAACCTTCTCTTCCCCTCCATCCCAACTGCAGCCTTAGTTAACTGTTTCCCTTTGCTGAAAAAAGGAAAGCTTATTTCAAGGATTCATTTAAGACTAATTTAGATTATAGAAGTGAATATACAACAGTGGCATCCAGCCAGGAGAATGAAGACAGGAAAAGCAGATATTGATCCTTGATGCCTGGCTGGTGTGTTACAATAAACAATGTAAAACATAGTGTAATATGCAATTGAAGCTGCTCTGACTTGCTTAATAAACTATGATTTACGTCTTGGTTTAGTTTACATGTGACTGCAACCAGTGCATGTTTTGCTCAGGCTAGCAGATGGCCATTTCTTTCCAAACATTGCAATAGCTAAGGATCTTGTGCCTTGTGTTTATTGATGAATTCCCAAGAGAGGCAATAAAGGCAACACAGTTTTTTGCAAGTTATTTATTCCCTTGGAACCTCTCTTTCAGATCTTCAAGCAAATGAATTTTCCTAGAGGAGACACAGAGTCAACATTGGCCTCTCCCCCAGAGAAAAAAAAGATCTAGAAAGTTAACCCTTTAAAATTTTGCTAAATAAAGGACATCTGCCACTGCTCCCCCCAAATGCTTCCCATTTAGCAGGAGCTATTTGACACCAGTTGCCTTTTAAAGAATAGTGGCTCCTTTCAAATATTAGGCATGTCTGCTATGGAAATATCTACAATCTCTGATAATAGTTACTGCTAGCTAATTATATTCCATTTAAGAAGAAAAAAATGTTTGAAGCAGAACAGTAACATAATATCTTTATAAAGAAGGGTGCAATTTATATAAATATTGGAACACTGCAATATATAGGACAACCTGAAAAACTAGTAAATATCAAAATGTGCATCTTGGAATTTTGTTGTTCTGTTTACAATTGAACAATATGCTTCAAATTTGTGCACTGTGAAAACTACCAGTATGTACCAAAATGTTAAATTTAGGAAAAATATATATAAAAGTACTTGCAAAAATGTGCAGATAGATCAGATGTGTACATTAGACATGTTCATGAAAATACATGTACAAATATTTCTGCAGACATTTTGAAGTTTTGGATGGATGGATGGATGGATGGATGGATGGATGGATGGCGAGGTTGCCAAATAGAATTTGCAGTCAGTGAAATGAAAAAAATCCAGTAAAAATACATTTGAATTACATGTTAGTCTTGACAAGAATTTAGTTTAAAAAAAAATCTCACAAAGTAATGAGTTCTGGAGGTCTGCAAAATTCTTCCAATTGTATTTTCAACAAAATAATATAAGAATATGGAAAGCGCACACTAAGCATGGATATGGTGAAAATCCTGCACAGTTTGTCACAGATTTATACAGGCATAGTTGGAAGCGGGCATTTTGGATATTGAACCCAGTTGCCTCAGAACCCAAATGTAAGCATCCCAAACAGATGGCTATCTAGTCTGACCCTGAACATATCCATTTCCTTTCCTACACTATTGGTTCCACTGCTCCTCTTCTTACTAGGAATATATTTTTTTTCCTACTATTCAATTAGAATATGTCTTCCAGTAACTTAACTCCATTATTCCATGTTCTGCACTTTGACAGGTTAGAGAACAGATTATGGAACTTCTTCTATGTGGCATTCTTTCAGGTGTTTGAAGTGAGCTATTTATCTTCCCCATCCTCTCAAAGTTAAGTATGCCTTATATCTACAACCTCTTTTCCTAGTCTCTTATGAAACTTGGATCATCCTGTTTTCCCTTTCCTCAACTTGTTCGTTTAATCTGATTCCTTATCAATGCTTAAAAACAAATGCAAGATGTAAGGTAGATTGGATAAACACAGAATATAATAATTATTTGCCACGATCTGGAAACTATATGTCTGTTCTTAATGCCCTAGAGCAGTGATGGCGAATCTTTTCAGCACCGGGAAAAGGGAGCACACAGGTGCATGTGTGTGGCACCAAGTGCCAAAAAGGAAACACTTCGCGCACATGCGCAAAGCAGGGCAGCAACCAGGAAGAGGAGATGCCCAGAGGGCATGCGCACGCTGGATAAAGTACTTCCACTTTCTGGCACGTGCATGCACGCCAGCCAGCAAGTCTTCCGGTTACTGCCATGCATGCGCACACGCTGATCAGCTGGCAAGCGCGCATGCTTATGCCAGAAAACAGAAGACCAGCTCTTCTGGTTTCTGGCACTGCTGCATGTACAAAGGCCAGCTGATTGGTGCGTGCACATGCGAGCCAGAAACCCAGAAGAGGAACGGGCGACACTGCGTGTGCCAGGTGACATGGGTCCACATGCCACTTCGGGCACGCGTGCCATAGGTTTGCCATCACAGCCCTAGAGGTTAGAGTTTTGGGGCAGGATTAAAACTGTTTTTATTGGAAGTTTCAAGAAGTGTTATGAGATATTTTATGCTATCGCTGGAATAAAGAGCTTGTATGTACTGACTTAAGGCTTGTTTTAATTAGTGTGCATTAAGTTACATAGTTAACATAAGAAATTTAGCTTCGTCATCACACTGTAGATCAGAATCAACAATAATATGACTTTGAATCAACTAATGTATACTGAGAACCACATCTGTTCTTAACCAATTCATGGTGATTTCTAGGAAGTCCTCGACTTACAATTATTCCTTTATTGACAGTTTAAAGTAGCCATCACTGGCTATTGGGGACAAGTTACTGACCCCCACGGAGAGGGCTCGCAACTTGGGCGTCCTTCTGGATGTACAGCTGTCTTTAGAAGAGCATATGACGGCCATGGCCAGGGGGGCTTTTTATCAGGTTCGCCTGATTCACCAGTTGCGTTCCTTTCTGGATTGGGACTCCTTACGCACAGGCACTCAGGCACTCGTCACTTCCCGCCTGGACTACTGCAATGCTCTCTACATGGGGATCCCCTTGAGGAGCACCCGGAGGCTCCAACTGGTGCAGAATGCGGCCGGGTGGGGGATTATGGGAGCGATGGGGCGCTCCCATGTGACACCCCTCCTACGCGAGCTGCATTGGCTTCCAATGTGGATGAAGTTCCTTACTTTCACGTGGCCTCTCCCCCCGACTTTATTTAAACTTGGCTGGTCTCATGTAAAAAAAAAACCCTAATAGCTAAATAAGTACTTGAAATTGAGTTGCAGTGTAATTTGAACTGATTTCCCAGTTTTTGCACAATTAGTCAGAAAGATATGGCTCTTTGTCTTTACTCACTGACTCATCGGAACTACTGGTGGGCTTTATAGGAGTTGCTGGAATGAGTTCAGTATTGTCATAGGGCAGATATTGCAATCTTCCTGTAACGTATCATCTCTATCCACGTAGTATACAAAAGGTAGAATCAATTGCATACGTTCTTTTACATTGTAGGATTTATATCATATTGTGCCAAAACTATGTTGCTCTCCTCTTAACAGCAATCCCTAGTCAATCCGGTATTTCCTATGTTGATTTCCTGCTTGCTGACATTGCAAAAAAAGTTTTATTTGGTAACAAGATTCCTGCAGGGGATCTGCAGTAGAAAATAAGATAGATTGCTTTGTATGCTTTTCCATTGTTTATTTACTAGGCCTTTTTTCTATTCCTTTTCTTTTATCTTGTTGATGGCTTGCTATAAGAATATAATAGAACTTAAATTGAATTGGCTATCAATCACAGCTTCTATCAATTATAAGCTTCAACCCTGCTCCTTCATCTTGCTCAGCGCAGTTATCTAACAGAACCCAAAGCGTCTTTTCAGGAAAGACTGAGCCAAAACAGGATTTGAATAGTTCAGCCTTTTTATTATTTCATCTTAGCATTTTGCCATTTTTTCCCACTTTCTTTTATTTTTAACAAATTTGAAGGAAAGTTTTTCTGTTGTTCAGTTAATTTTAGCTTCCTACCACCAGCTCTACATTTCTATGTTATACCTAGCTAACCTTCCCCAATGACTTGTCACAATTTCTGTTTCCTGTATGTGTGTATGTGATTCAGATTTACTGAGCCTCTTTTGCAGCTACACTGGCGTCTTCTGTTGGTTTCCTTTTTTCCCTCTTGTTAGAATATTTCAATTGCATTTTTAGTATTTCCTCTTTTAGGAACGCACATCCATCTTGACCTCCTTTTTCTTAACTTCTCCTGCCATGAGATGTTGTCTTTGCTCCCTAGTATATTGATATCTTTTTTCTTGAGGTCCCAAGAAGTGTGTTTAATTATATTCAGTTTCCTTTAAAATCAAAAATTCCAGCTATGCACGATCAGTTTCCTGCTACAACTACTATCTTACTAACTGTACTTATTCAGATAAGTTGTCTTTTCTGGCTAATATCAAGTTTTTAAAAAAGGAATCCTTTTATGCTTTCTTTTATCCTCTGTAGGAGAAACTTGTCCACATGACAAATCTTGAACTTTCCTGAAGACACCATATTCGGAAGTCTCCTAAGAGAAATCAGGAACTTAAAAGTCCCCTTCAATACAGGTAGTTCTCACTTATTGACTGCCTTGTTCAGTGACTTGTTACGATGGTCCTGAAAAAGCTTTAACAACTGTTCCTCAAACTTGCAGCCATCAGAGCATCCCCATAGTGACATGATTGTGATATAGCCACATTACGACTAGTGATTTGTGATTTGTTTAATAACCATAGAACTGACATCATAAGAATGACATACTCATGTAACATTTCACTTAACAGCCACATTGTTTAGTGATGGAGTTACCAATTTGAACTGTGGTTGGTAAGTGAGGATTATCTTTACTACTTCTTTGAAAGATAATAATAATAATAATAATAATAATAATAATAATAATAATAATAATAATAATTTTATTTCTATACCGCCCTTCTCCCGAAGGACTCAGGGCGGTGTACAGCCTATTTAAAAACAGAATAGACATCAATTTAAAATAATTTAAAAGTATTAAATAAATTTGGCTTAATTTAAAACCCCAAAAAGTTTAAAACATC